TGTTATTAAAATTACCAACACATAAATCTAATAAAAACATAAATATATTTTTCCCTCGTCTCATACTATAGTTTTCAAATAGACACCAATACTATCGATATGACCGCCAGCAAGGCCATAAAATCCTGCAAAAGAACCATCATCAAATGATACCATGAAATGCTCCGCTCTTATAGTACCATAAGGTGCATGGATTTTGTTGTTTGTCCCAAATGATATTGACCTTATTACTGCGTAACCGTTGCTTGCTAACCCAATTGTTCTGCTGATGGAATTTATTTCCTCATTATAATCAAATATTACCTGATCGGACAAACAAACAACGTATAAATAACAAAATTATAGCAAAATGGAAAAATTTAGAAAATGAATAATAGACTATGTATGATCAATACATAGAATGATGTCGTTCGTTATTATTATACGTGTCATAAGACATAATGATACATCTCGTACATACACATGCATATATATATATATATATATATATATATATATATAACAATTGACACAATGTTATGGTTAACAAAATACCATTAACACTCTTTCTAGACATGTATTTGTGATTTATATCCTGTTAATGTTTTTAGTTTTTACCAAAAATTTATCACAATATGTAGTTTTTTTATTACCTTCCAAACAACGCAGTAAATGCTTATGAGGTCATTATAACAGCCATGTCTTGAGAAACATGCATTTCAAAAAATCCAAATAAAAAAAATTTAAAACTTGCCTGAGTTATGAAATGTTTACCTCCGAAACCGTTCATAAAGATTCCAATAAAGTATTTTAGTTGTTTTGGACTGTGTTACGCTTCTATATTTTATGGTGAAGATAAGAAAGATTATGTTATTGCCATGCATATGATTAATAGTTATTTTCGTCAAATGTTGATTGTTCTCTAGTGGTAGATCCCAGACGTTATGCGGACTTCCAGGGTAAGTTGTTCCCCTTGTTCCAACCCTTATGATATCCTCATTAGGTTTAACATATATACCAATGCTATTAATTTAATAACTAGCAAGACCATAAAACCCCACTAACAAGCTTTATTCCCATGGTATAGAGAAAACATTTTTTTATTACTCGATCAAAAGGTCCATGGGCCCTTTTGTTCGTCTGAAAAGATAGTGACGAAATTATTGTAAAACCATCTTGAGAACCAATGGTTCCATTAATGCCAATTATTTCCTCATCACCTTCGAATATTACCTGATTAATAAGCCACCATTAAAAAAGATTATGTTACAAAAAGACATACATATTGATTCGTGGAATTAAGATCAACTTACCTCAGAATCATGCAAAACACCTTAGATTCACTAGTGAACATAATAGAATATATGATCACATCACCATGGTCAATAGTTATCTTCACACGGTTATGGCCTTTCTCAAGTTCGAAAGACCAGTGACTTTGAGAATCTCCACTTGTTCTTCCCTAAGTTCCTACCCGAATAAATAATTTGCTAGAATCCTTAAAACAAATAAAATATATAATTATTCAAGGTGAAAAGTGGAAATAGATTTAACATAATATTTTAGTTTTTCTTATGAAACTTACTTGAAGTTCCAATGCCTTCTGAACGTTTTAATCCGTCCACCCTATTGTTGGGCATTCGCTTTGACTTTCTTTCAAGCATCGATATGCAACCATTGAGAGCAGCTTTAATGAACCAACTTTCATTTGATTCATGAGATTGGGATCAATGATATCGTCTAATCTGTTGTCTGCACAATGCACTTGAGCCACAGAAGAAAGAAACTGACGTTCATCTTGATATCTTTCAATAAATGCCAACCTTCGACATAAGATTTCAATCAACACTACACCAAATGAATACACGTCAGACTCCTATGTTATCATGCGCGTTCTTACATATTTTGGATCAACATAACCGAGGGTACCACAAGCACTAGTGACAAGAAAAGTGAACTCAACATTTGAAAAGCCTATTTTCGATAATCCAAAATCTGAGATTTTCACTTCCTAATTCTCATTTAGGAGGATGTTGGAGCTTTTTTATATCGCGATGAAGAACCCTATGTTGGGGTCCCACATCATTATGAAGGTAATTAAAGGCACAAGCTGCACCAAGGCTTATTTGGAGACATTGTATCCAGGAGAGGTTGGAGTCGCTTATATATCTGTCAAGGCTTCCATTTTTTGCATGCTTATATACGAGGATATTTTCTTTACCCTCATCACAAAACCCAATAAGAGAGATGGGGGGTTTTTGTGTTTATAGCCCGAATGCATCTGAAATTCGATCAAGAACTCTCGGTTTCCTTGTCCCAATGAGCGAGCCAACCTCTTTATAGAAATGGTCATAGGCTGTCCAGATAGGGTGATTTCTCCTTTGTAGACCATCCCAAATCCACCTTTTGCAATGAAATTATCATCGCCAATGTTATTGGTGGCCAATTTTATGTCTTCTAGTGGAATTTTTAAGTGTTGCACACCATCCATGAGAGACATTATACATATATGTAATTTTATCTAATTTTGAATAAAGTATGTAATATTTAAATTGTGAACAATTATCTAAATAAACTTTGAAAGAAGCATTGGCCTATAGATTTAAATGTATAAATGTAAATTTAAGTTGAAAATATGGACGTGAATATATAATTTTTGTGTATTAAATAATGAATTTCTTATATTAAGTTGTGAATTTTGTGTTCTAAAATTAAACTATGAATTAAATGTATTAAGTCGTGAAATAAATATATTAAACTGTGAATTTTTATGAATTTTATGTAAAAATATGACCAATTTATGTATGAATGTTTGTATTAATTTTTTTTAATATATTTATTTTTTGTGATGTATAAATATGTAAGAATATATTAGTTTTTATAATTATTTTGCATTAAACACTTAATTAGTAAATTAATTGGTTTATTAAACTGTGAAATTGTATATGTTAAAACTTTTCCCAAAGAAATGGAAGGTATAATGTTTGTTCTATTAAGTTGTGAATACCAGAAAAATGCTATTCAATTTGGGGTTAGTTAGGCAAGGGTCCGGTGACGGTGCAACGATTGTTTGACGTCAAGTGGCAACTAATTGTAAACTAGGAAATAAAAAAGTTTGTTTAGTACAATATAAATATTGGATTTGTCCAACCCTTAATAAACATATTTAAGAGAAAATGGTTCTTAGGGTTCTTAATCTTTTTGGGTTCTCATTTGATCCACTCCATATATATATATATATATATATATATATATATATATATATATATATATATATATATATATATATATATATATATAAAATACATGTCACTTCATCTCTAGGTTCTATAGCTTTGATTTTATTCACATTTTGTCGAGAATAAATCATTCTCTTAATAGATTTCATCTTGTTCCTCAATCTTCGAAGAATATTGTAAGTTTCGTGTTCCAAATATTGCCTTCAACTAGACGACAAGTTTTAAATCGTAATGCGGACATTCCTCCCTCACTTACATTTGCTTGCAACAAATTCACACTAAGAACCTAATGTTTTAGATCTTGGTCTTTAAAAAGTATACTGCACAGTAGTGGATGTGCTTTTCTAATCCATGTATGGGGTATTGGTAAAAATGATTAGTTATTTTTATTGATCCATATTAATAATTAGTGAAAATACACGTTATGGTTTATGTATATTCCATCACTATATATAGATACAAGAGTTACAAAGAGGACCCTACACTATACAATGTATAAAAATTAATAATACAATTTAACACCCCCCCCCCCCCCTCAGTTTGAGCAGGAGGTTCTCGTATGCTTAAATTGTTCCGAAAATATAGAAATAACTGAGTAGGAAGTCCCTTTATAAAAATATCAGCAAACTGATGAGCAGATGGAACATGCAAAACGCGAACCTGACCAATAGCAACACGTTCCCTAACAAAATGTAAATCTATTTCCACATATTTGGTTCATTGGTGCTGAACAAGGTTAGAAGCCAAGTACATGGCACTGATAGGGGTGTAAACGAGCCGAGCCGAGCCCGAGCCTGACAAAGCTCGAGCTCGAGCTCGAGCTCGATTCGAGCCTTAAAATGAAGCTCGAGCTCGGCTCATGAATAGTTTAGTGGGCTCGCGAGCCTAATCGAGCCTAAACGAGCCTCTATGTGTGTGTGTGTGTGTATATATATATATATATGTGTGTGTGTGTGTGTATGTATGTGTGTGTGTGTGTATATATATATATATAGAGAGAGAGAGGCTCGTTTAAGCTTGTTTAGGCTCGCGAGCCCATTAATTGAAGCTCAGCTCGAGCTCATTTAATAAACGAGCCTCATATTTAGGCTCGAGCTCGGCTCGGGCTCGTTTAATTCGATCTCGAGTCGAGCTTTTAACGAGTCGATCCCGAGTAGCTCATGAGTAGCTCGGCTCACTTACACCCCTAGGCACTGACATTGTCACAAAAGACGACCGTGGCACAAGTTAACAGACAATATAACTCAAGAAGGAGGTTATGAATCCATGCAACTTCGGCAACAACATTGGCTACCCCCTGTACTCAGCTTCGACACTAGACCTAGAGACAATGTGCTGGTGCTTGGACGACCAAGAAATAAGGTTGTCGCCAAGATAGAAACAGAAACCAGATTTGGACCGACATGTTTGAGGACAACCAGCCCAGTCAGCATCACTGTAAGAGACCAAACGATCGACATGAGACGGACATATATGAAGACCATGCTTAATGGTACCCTGAAGATACCGAAGGATACGCTTGAGATTAAGAAAATAAGGTTCACCAGGATCATGCACGAAGAGAAATTTTTTTTGAACTGCGTATCAAATATCTGGACGAGTGAAAGTCAAATACTGATGAGCACCAGTGAGCCTTCTATATAGGGTAGGGTCAGCCACAAGCTTTCCATGAGCAGGAAGCTTAGGTTTAGAGTTTGTAGGAGTGCTACAAGGATTACAGAGGGTCATGTTAGCACGAGAAAGAATCTCACAAATGAACGCAGTCTGAGATAGGAACAGAATCTATGACGACCTAGTAGCAGCAATGACGAGAAAAAACGAGAGAGGTCCCAAATCAGACATAGGAAACTCAGCAGACAGTCGAGAAATAACACGTGTAGCCAAGGTTGATAAGGAAGCAGTAAGGATGATATTGTCGACATACAGCAGAAGATACGCAACATCATTCTCATGGTGATAAGTAAAAAGAGAAGTATCAGAACGACTGCTTTGAAACCCAACAGAGGTGATGTATACAGTGAAACGCTGATACCAAGCACAGGGAGCTTGCTTTAGGCCATATAAGGCCTTGCAAAGACGACAAACATGATGAGGATACTGAGGGTGGACATAGCCAGGGGTTGCTTCATGTACACCTCCTCATTAAGATCTCCATGTGGAAAGGCATTTTTAACATCAAGCTGATTGATGGTCCAGTTGCGAGAGATGGCAATGCTGAGAATAGTACGGATGGTAGCAGGCTTAACCACTGGGCTAAATGTATCGTAAAAGTCCAACCCAGGTTGTTGAGAAAAACCTTGAGCTACCAGACGACCTTTATATTGATCAAGATTGCCTTTAGAGTCAAGCTTGTGTCGATATAACCATCGACAACCAACAATATTTGCATTAGAAGGGGAGAGACGAGATCCCACGTATGATTAGACTGAAGAGCTTCCATTTCAGAGACCATGGCAGATTTCCAATTTAGGTCACAAAGAGCCTGATAGGTTGAACGGGGAATTGGAGAGATAGACGAAGCGGATAAGTTGAGAAGATAACGAGGTTTAAGAGAGCCAGTACGAGAACGGGTGATCATAGGATGTCCATGGTTGTTGGAAGAGGGAGCAGAAGGCTGGACATGAGGGGAGGGGACAAAGGATGAGGAGTTCGAGGGAGAGGAAGTATCCACCGGAGGTACAAGAGGAGAAGGATTAGAAGGAGAGAGAATTAGAGGAATATCATCATTAGGAACGAGCAATTCGTAATAGGATGTGGAAGGGGAAGGTTGAAAATTAGTATAAGGAAAATGATCTTCATAAAAAACGACATGGCGATAAATGATAATGTGTTGAGTGATTAGGTCAAGACAACGATATCCTTTGTGGTCTGGAGATGAACCGAGGTAGACACAAGCGGAAGAGCAAGGTGCAAGTTTGTGAGAGGCAGTAGAAGATGTATTTGGGTAACATAGGCACCCGAAAACATGCAAATGGTCATAATTCGGAAACAAACCAAACAAGGTCTCAAATGGAGTTTTAAATGAAAGAGTAGTGGTAGGATGGAGATTAAGAGTATGGACAACAGTGAGAAGAGCTTCAACACAAAATTTGATGGATAAGGAAGCTTGAAATAAAGAGGTGCGAACAATGTTGTTAATGGTATGGATTGAGCGTTCAAGTTTTCCATTTTGCTGAGAGGTGTAGGGACAAAAACGAACTTGAATACCATTAGTTTGAAAGAGTTGAAGAAGAGGTTGATTATTAAACTCACGACCGTTGTCGTATTGAAATGCCTTGATGTCAGTTTGAACTGATTTTCGACATAAGCACGAAAATTACAAAAAACACTATACACTTCAGATTTTGTACGTAAAGGAAAAACCCACAAAAAAATGAGAGAAATCATTCAAAAAAAGAATATAATATTTGAAACCACTAATACTAGGAACCGAGGAGGTCCATAAATCCAAATGAATTAATTCAAACGCACTAGATGTCTTAGAAGTAGATAATTTAAACGAAAGACGACAATGTTTCCCAAGTTGGCAAGTATGACAAGTGTCAAGTTTATTAAAACTACTTGAAATAAATCTGCAAGCATGTAAAAAAGAAAGAACAGACGATCCAGGGTGTCCAAGACGGCGATGCCACGTAGGGAGAGAGAGACGTTGGAGGGAGCACGAGCGAAAGTGAGCGGGTATAAATCTCCAACACTGTCGCATCATTGAAGAAGTGTGCCCGTGTCAAGATCCTTGATAGAGAAACCGAATGGGTCAAACGTTAAAGAAACATAATTATCAATAGTGAACTTACGAACAGAGACAAGATTTTTAATCATATGAGGAGAGACAAGAACATCATTTAAAGTGAAATTATTTTTTAAAGAATAGAATTTTGTGTGACCAATGTGAGTAACCAGTAAAACAACACCATTACGAACCATTATAGATTTAGAAGTACACGGTGTTAAGGAGAGCATATTACCTTGGTTAAACGACATATGAGAGTTTGCACCAGTGTCCATGTAACAGTTGTTATCTGGTGGTGGTTGAACAGACATTGCTTGAAAAATGAAGCTGAGATGGGTAAATTGATGTGCTGGTTGATTAGCCGGAACAGATCCACCAAAAAAATTATTGTGTTGCTGTTGTAGACCACTTTGGACGTGGGGAGTGATCTGCGAATAATTAAAAAAAGAACCCACTTGGGATGTTGAGTAGGATGTGTAATATGGGGCACTTGGTTTGAACATGGGTGAAGTCCAAATGAAGTAGCGCCAAATGAAGGTAGCATTGGGCCTATTGGGCTGAAAGTTGTAATTTAGCCAAGTTGCTGTTGGGCCGGCGACAATCCTTGGTGCTGGGAAGAATAGTTCACGTGTGATGCTCCAATGGGAATTTGTTGAGGTGGGAAGTTGTTGTAGGCAGTGGGATTGGACCCCAAAATTCCTGCAAACTAAGGATGAACATAGTCGGGTACCCGCCTCATTTGGCGAGAATCGGAATCGGAACCGACGATTCCTAGAAAGTTAGAACCAGAACTGGAACCGCTCTAGGTAGTTCTTAAATTTTTGGAACCAGTCCCGGAACCGGCTGTTCGTGTTCCGGGAGCAGGTAACCCGGTTACCTTTGCAAATATCCAAAAAATGCGACGCCATAATTTGTACTTTGAGCCATCAATGGTAAGTTTGAAGCTAAACTGTTGGTAGACGTTGGTGACGGCATAGACCAATTGATGGGCAGCCGGCATGGAGTTGGAGGTTTAAGCGGGGGACGACATGAACCCGGATTAAAAAAACAGAAAAAAATACTTGAAAAAAATATTAAAACAAAAGTCAAGATGCTAACCTTTGGTAGAGGGATTGTAGCATCAAAACTAGTGTAATTCTATGGACTTGTAGAGAGCAGCGGGGATGCTTAAAAACATGCAGGATCGTGTATCACTAAAGCCTTAAAGCCACTAAAGTTGACCACTAATAAAGATGATGGTTAGCTTTAGAAAACACCGACGATATGATTTGCCGGCAAAAAGAATAAAAAAAAAAAACTTGAATAAATCAGAGAAGGCAGGAGGCTTTGATGAAGTCGACGACCAAGATCAATGATAGAGAGATTAACGGCTGTGATACCATGATAATTAGTGAAATTACCGGTTAGGGTTTATGTCTATTCCATCACTATATATAGATACAAGAGTTACAAAGAGGACCCTACACTATATAGTGTATAAAAATTAATAATGCAATTTAACACATATACTTCTTTTCATTGTTATTTGTTGCGAAGTGGAATCTCTTAGGTTCAAAGTCAATGATTTAGCGAGTCAAATTTCTACATCAACCGGATGTCGAAGAAGAAGCTGACTAAATTAGCGTTTGTCGAAGTTGATGCAATGAGTGTAGGATTATAAAAGGGGTTGGCTAAAAAAACACACTATTTTACCATTTAGACAACCTTAATTAATGTTTGAAATATTTTTATTAAAAGACAAACAGCGTGATAAGAATTGGTTCGTATTTCAATTCTGGATAAGTTTCCTATTTTCTAGAAGACTCGTAGACTCTTAGGGATCGCATTGATGGATGAACCTAGTATTTATGTAATGATAGAGTTTATTCTCTTATTATTTTTTGTAAGCCTTATGTAATAGATTTCTCTGTGAAAGTTATTGTTTGAGAGTATGTCCCTGTGAGTACGTATCTTTTGTTCTTATATTCTCATTAAACATTTAGTTTCACAATATTGATTTTGTGTCCGTTACATTGATAATTGTTTGATTGCCTAGTTATTAAATGTTGGAACTTTATATATAAAGGAATTGCAAGTTGGCAATTTCCTTTGTATCCCACATTGGTGGGGGGAAGAAACTTTTGTGGGTTTATAAGCCTATTCCCTTGGTAAGCTTTCAAAGGCTTTAGTGGATCAAAGGAATGGGCCAAGCCCACACGTGCGCCTAGCCTAGCACTAGCCGATGCCGTGATTTAAGTGCACGACGCATCGGGAGCTGAGGAGCTTTTATTTTTGACGAGTTCGGGTCAAATGGTTGACCACCGTTGACTTCGTGGAGGTCAAGTCAGGGTATTCTAGAAGGATCAGGAAACAGATTGCTTGGAGAGCAAGCTGTCGTCCTAGGGTTTCTGGAGCCGGCCTATGGGGGCCTGTTTGATGCCTTCTAGGGTTAAGATACCTATAAATACAGCTCCCTAGGAGCCATATAGACACTCACGAAAAATCTGAAAGCTCTCCCTCTCTCTGCGTTTTTTCTTCTAGTTTCCGAGTAGTCGCTTTGTGTTTGTCGATTTCCAGTGCTGTTGGAATATCGATCTAGCTGGATTAAATCCTGGGGTTTTACTCTGTTGCTTACAGCCAATACAAGCGAAGTAAAAACCTTTAAGGACAGGAATCTGATCCGTACAGTTGCTTCAAGATCAAGTCAGCAATCAACAGGTCGGTTTTACTTTTCTGTCTTGTGTTTAATTCGTCCAATAACATGACAGTCTTCTTCTACCTTTCTTATAATCAGATCTAATCGAGAAGGATAGATCTGGTTTCTGGACGAAACTTGGTAATATAATAATAATAACTGGATCTATTATTCGCAACTAATCGACATATAAGTCTCAATATTATTTGTCGGTTTCCTTGCGCGTTTATTAGTTTGATTAACAACATTAAATTATTAAATTCATTTATTTTTAGTTTAATTAAATTTAAATATTAGTTTATTATTATTATTATTATTATTTTTGAAATTAAATTAAGGGTTAAAATTTATAGCCCCAAAAAATTATAGGTGTTACATGATCCATTTACCATGTAATAGACAATATCATATTACAAGAAATTGAATTTATTCGAGTACCAATAGTGATCCACTTCACATGTTCGTGTACTCATCTCATTTCATAAAGCTATCAAATTTTAATTATCATTATCATGGTGCTTGCAATAATCCTTACAAGCTTTTCTTTAGCTCAAACACAATCATCTCGTTTTCAATCTCTCTTTGTATAATTATTTACAAACTTTAAATCATAACATTCTTACAAGCTTTCCGGATATCTGTAATTATTTAGGTTGTTCTATGTAGGCGTCTTTTTCAAATTTCTATTTGTTTGAATGTAATGTTTATATCTAACTGTTCCATATGAAAGTCCTCTACACCCACAATACTCAAACTAATCTCATTGTAGTCATAATTATTACCGGAGAAAAGATTTTAATAAAATCCTATTTTTATTGGAATCTCTTAACCGCTAATATAGCCTCGTATATTTTATTGTGGTCATGTTTATCCCTACCCTAAATGGTCACTTGTTTTATAGTGTTTTTGCCCTGCTAGTAACTTTACCAAAGACCACATTTGGTTCTTTCAAGTGAACTATCTCATCATCTATAACTTTCTTCCACTACAACCACTCTTGTATTCTCAATGATTTTGGTCATGATTCTAGAACTATAGAAAATAGTCAGGTGATGGAAAGCATCTAACTTGATGTCTTGTTTATCTAGTGGTATCTGTCACATTTGGAGTTTAAGAACTTATATTATTAATTTTTCTCTAAAACACCCCTAACTTTAGATTTATGAGCTCCTACTCACTTTTGATTTCTCACCCATCTCTGAAATAGGTATATGAAATGCAATGTCATATTTTATAACAAATTCAAACACAACAAGGTAGATCCACACAATATGCAACATAAATCTAATAAAAACATAAATATATTATCCCTTCATGTCATACTATATAGTCTTCAAATAGACACCAATACTATCAAGATAACCTCCAGCAAGGCCATAGAATCCTGCAAAAGAACCATCATCAAATGATACCGTGAAATGCTCCCCTAATGTATTACCATAAGGTCCATAGGTTTTTTTGTTTGTCCCAAATGATATCGACTTTATTACTTTGAATCCGTTTCTTGATGACCCAATTGTTCCGCTGATGGAATTTATTTCTTCATTATAATCAAATATTACCTGATTGGACAACGGAAAAAGTAACAAACAACGTATAACATAGAAAATTATAGCAAAATGAAAAATTTAGAAAATGAATAATAGACTATGTATGATCAATAATACATAGAATGATGTAGTTCGTTATTCATGATAAAACTAAGATTATAAGTGTCATAAGATATAACAATATATCTAATATTTACACATGCATATATGGCACAATGTTATGGTTAATGAAATACCATGACAGTCTTTCTACACATGTATTTGTGATTTATATCCTGATAATGTTTTTAGTTTTTACCAAAAGTTTATCATATTTTGTAGTTTTTTTTTTTTTTTTTTTTTTTTTTTTTTTTTTTTTTTTTTGTTACCTTACAAAGAGCGTAGTAAAAGCTTATGAGGATCATATAACAATCATGTTTTCTATATATCACACGTTTTGAGAAACATGCATTTCCAAAAATCCGGATAATTAATTTTTTTTTAACGATTTCATATGTTAACTTGTATGGGTTATGAAATGTTTACCTCGAAAACCCTTTCATCAAGATGAAGACACTCAGGTACTTCAGTCGTTTTGGTGTGTGTTAAGCTTCTATATTTTATGGTGAAGATGAGAAAGTTTATGTTGTCGCCATGATTAATGATTATTTTCTGCAAATGTTGATTGTTCTCTAGTTGTAGATCCCAAATGTTATGCGGCTCTCCAGGGATAATTTTTCCCCATGTTCCAACCCTGACGGCTTCCTCATTAGGTTTAACATATATACCAATATTGCTATCAATGTAATAACTAGCAAGGCCATAAAACCTAACTAACGAGCCTTTGTCCCATGGTATAGAGAAAACATCTTCTGTTGCTTGACCAAAAGGTCCATGCGTCCTTTTGTTCGTCTGAAAGGATAGTGACGAAATTATTGTAAAACCATCTCGAGACCCAATGGTTCCATTAATGCCATTAATGCTACTAAAGTGTCCTCCAACAAGTTGGTCACCATGACTCCCGAACTTCAAAAATCTTATGAAGATTTCTACCCCTATGAGATGCACCAAGATCTGATGGATAGGTACCATCATAGTGCGCGTTAGGAGAGGTATGAAATCATCTCCTCCATGATAACAGCCAGAATGAAGGATAGTGAACCATCTCCGGTCACTTGCAGAAGATGAAAAGGTTCGTTGACCGGTTGCTAAAGCTCAATGTTGACTTCCCTGAGGACATGGCGATTGATATCATTCTCCATTCCTTACCTCCAAGTTATGATCAGTTTCGTATGACTTATCATATGAACAAGGAGGAAGTCACACTTAGAAAACTTCAAGGACTCTTAAGGACAACTGAAAATGGCCTTAAGGGTCATGCGATTGTTACTTTTACTCCTTCAACAACTCCTATTTTGGCAATTGGGCAGGGAAAGGGGAAGAAGAGGAAAACCCCTTCGAAGGGTACCAAGGGAAAGTCCCTTGATGGTTCCTCTTCAAGTGGGACAAAGAAATGTCTGATCACTCCTTCCTCAAACCCTAAGGAAGCACCGTGCTACTATATTTAGGAAAGAGGGCACTAGAAACGAAGCTGCCCCATGTACCTTCAACATGTAAAGGATGGGAAAGTTAAACCCAACCAAGCAGGTATTTATACAATATTGTCTAATAACTCATCTAATGCTAATTCTTGGATGCTTGATACAAGTTGTGGTATTCAAATTTGTACTAATTCGCAGGGCCTAAGAAGAAGTGAGCAAGTGGAGCACAGGAAGATAAACTTAGTCATGGGCAATAGGAAAGCATCACCTATCATCAAGATAGGAGTTTATTCTTTATTGCTTAATAATGGGTTAATATTAGATTTGAATAAATGTTTTTACTCGTCCGAAATGGTGAGAAATATTATTTCCTTTCA